AGACAGAATAAGTACAAGAATCTGACAGAATAACTACAAGAATATAACAGAATAACTACAAGAATCTGACACAAACTGAAAACTTGTTCTTTTAAATGATCTTAGTAGTTTTAAGCCACCCAGATTGAAAGCCTGGCTTAAGCCACCCTAGACTGAAAGCCTGGCTAAAGCCACCCTAGGCTAAAAGCCTGGCTTAAGCCACCCTTGGCTGAAAGCCTGGCTAAAGCCAAACTAGGCTGAAAGCCTGGCTTAAGCCACCCTAGACTGAAAACCTGGCTTAAGCCACCCTTGGCTGAAAGCCTGGCTCAAGTCAAACTAGGCTGAAAGCCCGGCTTAAGTTACCTTGACTGAAAAGCTTGCTTAAGCCACCCTAGACTGAAAGCCTGGCTTAAGCCACCCTAGGCTAAAAGCCTGGCTTAAGCCACCCTTGGCTGAAAGCCTGGCTAAAGCCAAACTAGGCTGAAAGCCTGGCTTAAGCCACCCTAGACTGAAAGCCTGGCTAAAGCCAAACTAGGCTGAAAGCCTGGCTTAAGCCACCCTAGACTGAAAACCTGGCTTAAGCCAAACTAGGCCGAAAGCCTGGCTAAAGCCGCCCTAGGCTGAGAGCCTGGCTTGAGCCACGCCAGGCTGAAAGCCTGGCTTCACTATACAACAGTGACAGGCTCAGTAACAAGGTGTCTCCAACAAGTGGATATTAACGCGCTTAATTTAGAGACTTTCACTGCAGTATTAAAGACTAGCTAAACGTTTCAAGTGAGCAAAACGTTGTTCCAGACTTTATTACAGCAGTGAAAACCCACTGCAGTGAAAACCCTCTGCAGTGAAAACCCACTGCAGTGAAAACCCACTGCAGTGAAAACCCACTGCAGTGAAAAACCCACTGCAGTGAAAACCCACTGCAGTGAAAACCCACTGCAGTGAAAACCCACTGCAGTGAAAACCCACTGCAGTGAAAACCCACTGCAGTGAAAACCCACTGCAGTGAAAACCCACTGCAGTGAAAACCCACTGCAGTGAAAACCCACTGCAGTGAAAACCCACTGCAGTGAAAACCCACTGCAGTGAAAACCCACTGCAGTGAAAACCACTGCAGTGAAAACCCACTGCAGTGAAAACCCACTGCAGTGAAAACCCACTGCAGTGAAAACCCAGTGAATTAGAGGTGTTTTAAAGAGCACTTGTTGGAGTTACTCCTGTACTGAGAAGGTCAACCTTGAGTTAGTGTGGCCAGGCTTTCAATTTAGGGTGACTTAAGCCAGGCTTTCAATTTAGGGTGACTTAAGCCAGGCTTTCAATTTAGGGTGACTTAAGCCAGGCTTTCAATTTAGGGTGACTTAAGCCAGGCTTTCAATTTAGGGTGACTTAAGCCAGGCTTTCAATTTAGGGTGACTTAAGCCAGGCTTTCAATTTAGGGTGACTTAAGCCAGGCTTTCAATTTAGGGTGACTTAAGCCAGGCTTTCAATTTAGGGTGACTTAAGCCAGGCTTTCAATTTAGGGTGACTTAAGCCAGGCTTTCAATTTAGGATGACTTAAGCCAGGCTTTCAATTTAGGGTGACTTAAGCCAGGCTTTCAATTTAGGATGACTTAAGCCAGGCTTTCAATTTAGGGTGACTTAAGCCAGGCTTTCAATTTAGGGTGACTTAAGCCAGGCTTTCAATTTAGGATGACTTAAGCCAGGCTTTCAATTTAGGGTGACTTAAGCCAGGCTTTCAATTTAGGGTGACTTAAGCCAGGCTTTCAATTTAGGGTGACTTAAACCAGGCTTTCAATTTAGGGTGACTTAAGCCAGGCTTTCAATTTAGGATGACTTAAGCCAGGCTTTCAATTTAGGGTGACTTAAACCAGGCTTTCAATTTAGGGTGACTTAAGCCAGGCTTTCAATTTAGGGTGACTTAAGCCAGGCTTTCAATTTAGGATGACTTAAGCCAGGCTTTCAATTTAGGGTGACTTAAGCCAGGCTTTCAATTTAGGGTGACTTAAGCCAGGCTTTCAATTTAGGGTGACTTAAGCCAGGCTTTCAATTTAGGGTGACTTAAACCAGGCTTTCAATTTAGGGTGACTTAAGCCAGGCTTTCAATTTAGGGTGACTTAAGCCAGGCTTTCAATTTAGGGTGACTTAAGCCAGGCTTTCAATTTAGGGTGACTTAAGCCAGGCTTTCAATTTAGGGTGACTTAAGCCAGGCTTTCAATTTAGGGTGACTTAAGCCAGGCTTTCAATTTAGGGTGACTTAAGCCAGGCTTTCAATTTAGGGTGACTTAAACCAGGCTTTCAATTTAGGGTGACTTAAGCCAGGCTTTCAATTTAGGGTGACTTAAGCCAGGCTTTCAATTTAGGGTGACTTAAGCCAGGCTTTCAATTTAGGGTGACTTAAGCCAGGCTTTCAATTTAGGATGACTTAAGCCAGGCTTTCAATTTAGGGTGACTTAAGCCAGGTTTTTCAATTTAGGGTGACTTAAACCAGGCTTTCAATTTAGGGTGACTTAAACCAGGCTTTCAATTTAGGGTGACTTAAGCCAGGCTTTCAATTTAGGATGACTTAAGCCAGGCTTTCAATTTAGGGTGACTTAAACCAGGCTTCAATTTAGGGTGACTTAAGCCAGGCTTTCAATTTAGGGTGACTTAAGCCAGGCTTTCAATTTAGGATGACTTAAGCCAGGCTTTCAATTTAGGGTGACTTAAGCCAGGCTTTCAATTTAGGGTGACTTAAGCCAGGCTTTCAATTTAGGGTGACTTAAGCCAGGCTTTCAATTTAGGGTGACTTAAACCAGGCTTTCAATTTAGGGTGACTTAAGCCAGGCTTTCAATTTAGGGTGACTTAAGCCAGGCTTTCAATTTAGGGTGACTTAAGCCAGGCTTTCAATTTAGGGTGACTTAAGCCAGGCTTTCAATTTAGGGTGACTTAAACCAGGCTTTCAATTTAGGGTGACTTAAGCCAGGCTTTCAATTTAGGGTGACTTAAACCAGGCTTTCAATTTAGGGTGACTTAAGCCAGGCTTTCAATTTAGGGTGACTTAAGCCAGGCTTTCAATTTAGGGTGACTTAAGCCAGGCTTTCAATTTAGGGTGACTTAAGCCAGGCTTTCAATTTAGGGTGACTTAAGCCAGGCTTTCAATTTAGGATGACTTAAACCAGGCTTTCAATTTAGGATGACTTAAACCAGGCTTTCAATTTAGGGTGACTTAAGCCAGGCTTTCAATTTAGGGTGACTTAAGCCAGGCTTTCAATTTAGGATGACTTAAGCCAGGCTTTCAATTTAGGGTGACTTAAACCAGGCTTTCAATTTAGGATGACTTAAGCCAGGCTTTCAATTTAGGGTGACTTAAACCAGGCTTTCAATTTAGGGTGACTTAAACCAGGCTTTCAATTTAGGATGACTTAAACCCGGCTTTCTATTTTAGGTGGCTTATGCCAGGCTTCCAATTTAAGGTGGCTTAAGCCAGGCTTTCAATTTAGGGTGGCTTAAGCCAGGCTTTCAATTTAGGGTGGCTTAAGCCAGGCTTTCAATTTAGGGTGGCTTAACACAGGCTTTCAATTTAGGATGGCTTAAGCCAATCTTTCCATTTAGGGTGGCTTAAGCCAGGCTTTCAATTTAGGGTGACTTAAACCAGACTTTCTATTTAGGGTGACTTAAGCCAGGCTTTCAATTTAGGGTGACTTAAGGCAGGCTTTCAATTTAGGGTGACTTAAACCAGACTTTCTATTTAGGGTGGCTTAAACCAGGCTTTCAATTTATGGTGGCTTAAGCCAAGCTTTAAATTTAGGGTGGCTTTAAACCAAGCTTTCAGTTTAGGGTGGCTTAAGCCAAGCTTTCAATATAGGGTGGCTTTAAACCAAGCTTTCAATTTAGGGTGGCTTAAGCCAAGCTTTCAATTTAGGGTGGCTTTAAACCAAGCTTTCAATTTATGGTGGCTTTAAACCAAGCTTTCAATTTAGGATGGCTTAAGCCAAGCTTTCAATTTGGGGTGACTTAAGCCAGGCTTTCAATTTAGGGTGGCTTAAACCAGGCTTTCAATTTAGGGTGGCTTAAGCCAGGCTTTCAATTTAGGGTGGCTTAAGCCAAGCTTTCAATTTAGGGTGACTTAAGCCAGGCTTTCAATTTAGGGTGGCTTAAGCCAAGCTTTCAATTTAGGGTGGCTTAAGCCAGGCTTACCTACTACCACTCTCTGGCAGTTTCATTCAACTGAACATCGAGAAAAACTCAAAAATTCTTACGCATCGACTAAGTCAATGTGATAATTTCGGTCACTGTGGACCACTGTAATGGTCCAGGACCCACCCAAGACTTTTCTCTTGTCACCAGTAATTATATAATATATATAGGTAAAACTTGCTATTTTGGCTTAAATAGCAACGCTCTTCTTGCCGAATAAGACAAGCGAAAATTTGTGTTTGTAATAATTTCCCAAAAATCATTCTGAGCCTAACGAGAAAAATATATTTCATTGCGTTTGTTTATTATTAAATTATTATAAACTTATCTAAAATATTTTTATTTGGATTAGCCTAAATTAAATTACGCTTGTTATAATAAGGTCAGGTAAGTTTTCTAAGGTTCTTTTGGTACAAAATTATTGTTACATTAACATAAATGAAAAAATATATCTTTAAACGTATAAGAGAAATTTTTAGAAATGACTTAATCTTAAATGGGTTCTTGATAATTGACCAATTTTGCCTATTCGGCACGACACACACACACACACACACACACACACACACACACACACACACACACACACACACACACACACACACACACACACACACACACACACACACACATATATATATATATATATATATATATATATATATATATATATATATATATATATATATATATATATATATGTACGAGTTATTGAAGGTTCTATGGGAGGAAAGATAGGTTCGAGAACTAAGGGCAATGATTCACTGTGTATAAAGGCTTATTACGCCATGCGTCACTCTGCGTAGGAGTTGATCAGGTCAGTAAGAGTGTGTGTGGAGAGCCTTACCTGGAAGTAAGGGCTGCAGGCTGACAAGACCACCTTATGAGCCTTCAGTGTCATGCCTTCAACAGCGAGAGTAACGTCGACAAAGGACTCTGTCTGTAGAAGTTGTTCGAACACCGAGATGATGTTAGACTGGTGGTTATTCCACCTCAGGCAGAACTGCTGGGGGGACATAGCCATCCTTACGCCCGACGACACCCTGAA